ATTGCAACGCCTGACGACATTGGGCAATCAGTTTGGAGATTTCGGTTGATGCAGGGTCTGGACCCCGGTTACTGCTTCCCTAGGCCGTCGAGATCTCAAGACAAATGGCGGCCCATATTTCCCTGAAACCGAACTCCCTGTGGTCTTGATGCTGTCCGGGTACCTACGCACAACAAGTGAATGTATCCGACCAAGGGCTTGGGCGTGGTACCTTTGACAGTTGACTTAGACTTTTGACTTTCCTAGGCAGTGCGTGGTCACACTGCCTGGCGCAGGCCGAGTTTGACCTGCGTCGTCTGGGCTCCGTTTCGAAGGACCAGACTGCTGTAGAACACGGGTTACTGCATTCCTGCCGACCCATTTTCGAGTTCCATCGCAGAAATAACTAAGACTTTAACCCACGTTCATATGCAGATACAATATCAGAAGCAGTTTCAAGTTATTCTCGCTTATTGAACCATCTGTCCTCAGATGGTGCCTGAGATTTGAAACGTTGAAACGTACCTTGAACTGCTTCTGGGGTCGTCCACGTCCGCTTGTAGAAAAGTACCCATGCCTTATGATTCTGTCTACCTCATATCCGCCGTCCATGTCTGGCGGAATCATAGAAGGTCTGTGTGGGAACTCATTTCTTTGTACATAGGGTAACAATTTGGACGCGTGAAAGACAAGATACGTTTTGAGGTGAGGGGGAATATCAATTCGATAAGACGGTTCCTCTGCATCCCCAATTACTTTAAGAACTTCCCAAGGTCCAAAATAGACGGGCAAAAGTTTTTGAGACACATTTTCTTCCAACGAAAACTTTTTGGACTTGACCCTAACTAGATCACCTTCCTTGAATGTTGAGGGTCAACGATGCTTGTTAGCTTGTTCAATCATTTGGTCTTGAGCTTTCTTTAGATTGTCCTTTACTTTTTTAACGTCTTCTTGAAACAATACTGCATACTCCCGGGTTCCTGGAGGTAAACCTAAGAAACTGATCCCGTGTTAACACATCAATGGGACGCTTAGGTTTCCAGCCCTTGTGCAGTGCATAGGCGTGCGCCCTGTAGCGGTATGAACACTACTGTTGTATGCACTTGTTATCTTGGGTAAGTTCTCGTCCCAATCAATCTAATCGGGTCTTACATACATACGCAAAAGTTGCTGACACAAACTGTTCATCTGTTCACTTTGTCCATTTGTTTCAGGGTGTCGCGCTAACGGCATGGTAAATCGTGTACCGTATGCTTCCATGAGCTTTTACCATGACATGCTTGTGAACCTTGCATCACGATCAGATACAATAGAGTGAGGAAAACCATACCCAGTCACCCATTGCATCTGAAACTTTTGTATGACAAGTTTTGTTCGTGCTTCCGCGGGTAAGGGAACAAACATGGCATATTTAGAGAAATGATCCACAATAACCATTACTTGACTATTGCCGTTTCGACTTTTGGTGAGACTCATAAAATCAATTGAGATAGACTCACCTGGTTCGCGGGGAATCGGTAACGGTTTCAGAAGACCAAGTGGATTCTCGTGTAAAGGTTTGTTTCTCGGACACACCAGACATGTACGAACATAAGTTAGTACGTCTTCCTTCAATCCCTTCCATTCAAAGCGTTCTCTAACCTTAACGTAAGTTTTCTTGAAACCAAAATGTCCTTCAGTGTCGCAATATTCCCCAATCAACGAACTTTTAATTTCTTCTTGATGAGGAATACACAATCTTTGTCCAGTTTGGTCACAGGCGAAGATACCAGGCAAAGTTGTGAACAACGCACTGTTTATCAACATCTTCACTCTTCCCACATGTTCGCCCCATCATTTTTTCCTTTTTTTTTTTAATGGTAGTGTTTTACTCGTCAGCTTCCAGTGAAGTTTCGAATTTACAACTGTATTTCAACAGTTCAGAAGTACCGAGCTAGGCCAGTTGATACGTGTTTCAAGCAGTGAGCGGTGAGTCCTCATTGAACTAGCGGTGAACGATGCGTCCTTATTGAACAAGCTCAGAAAGGTCTGAGCATTTACCCCAAGAGGAAAACTCAAGGGCGTACCTTGACAGTGTACTTTTACTAAAGCAAAGGGACACTAGACCCTTTGGTTTTCCCAGGAGGATTCTACTTCCTCTCGTGCCTTGGAAGAACATGCTACCCGCTTTTGCTAATGCGAACGGCACACCACCATCGACTACTGTCTTCCCCCAATAAGATACATGACTTCTGATCACAGTGTCTGGATCTAACATGAAGAGTGTGCTAAATCGTCCCTGAAGAACAATGTGAATACATATATGAAGATCTGGTCCTTCATGGGAATTTGGTAAAGAAGTGGAAATATGTCGGTAGGTAGGCTCGGTACGAGGATATGACTCTATCCAAAGAAAATTACAAGCAATTTGAGGAGGCACTTGCATTGGCATTTGTAGTCTTACTGTCTAAGGTCAGCTGCTGCAGTTTGTGTTTGGTTTACTTCCAGTGACTCAAAAGTAACTACGAGTACATTCGTTCAGTGTCTTGTTATTGCACTTTGTAAGCCTTTCTCAGCAATATAAAGTGCAATCTGCAACTGCAGCAGGTAATTTACGAAGGGTTAGTTGAGCACTCGGCTCATAAAGGCAAACCAGGTGATATAGCCATGAGCAGGTTGAGGAGAGTCTCTAACAAGCCTTGGAGGGCTGAACCCACATATGTGTCAAAATACGGGGATGACTTGTGGTTAGGGGTAAATAAAGAAAGAGTAAGAATCAATCGTTCGAGTATTGATTCTTCAATGCATTTTACGCTTTATGCCTTCTGCCCCATAGGAGTGTGAGTGCTTATAGAGAAAGTGACTCATAATGGTGGACCCAGTACAAATCTACTTGGGCCCACTCTGCTCTGCTAGCGAGCCGTGCTCACAAAAGCGTTTTCTTTTCTCTTATTTGATTTTCCTTCCTGGGCCCTCTCATCTCACGGCGAGCGCACCACAAAGTGGATTGATGGCGGAATAGCTTAATGGTAGATTATAGCCTTGCCAAGGTCAAGGTTGAGGGTTCAAATACCTTTTTCCGCAGTAAGGTGAACTTGTACATGTATCGAATTTGACACACAAAACAAAGGGCCAAAGGCCAGAGCACGTTCCCGCATGTAGTGAAATTTTAAACAATCTGCCACAATTTTTTTTTTGATGAATGGGTCTAAAAGTTGAACTTCGTACATATGAAGTGTTGATAAAAGGTAAAACAAATAGTGAAACAAAGACAAGATCTATTGCAGCAATAACCCCTAGTTTATTCGGTATACAACGAAGAATTGCATAAATAGGCCCCTGAAAGAGGCCACTTGATGGGACCACTCAGATTGTCAAATAATGGAGCACAAATTTGTAACATATGTGTTTGTGTTTTTTGGGTGGTTTCAACAAGTTTTTGGTTGGTTCTTATGTCTCTTTCGAGATGAATAAATAGGAAACTCAATAAGTAGATAAAATACAATCAATTATCTACTGCAAGGAAGATGAGCAATAGCGAACTTCAGCAATCAAACAACATCATACATATGAGTCCAGATAGTCGTGACCTTGAACCAACAACAAAATTGCATCACGAGATTCACCAAATAAGAACACACCAAGAGTTCATAATTGACAATGCTGAAATAGTCCCATCATCATCAACGAAGAACCAGAGTTGATATCCTATCTGGCGCTCGACGCCCAGACTACATGTGGCAGATCCTATCTAGCCTATACTACGATGCCGAAAGATGACGTCAACAACTTTCCCGAAGTACGAGCATACAGTGACCAATGTCGCACGCTTCCAGCACCAGGTATGTCTCTCGCCGCACCCACAACCTCGTTCCCCAACGCACAGATGCCACTAGCACCCATGGACTACCCTGCGCATCACCCAGCTTACAGCAGCGCAGCTCGGCTATGGCTGCGTGCTCCTTTCCTGCTCGCCCGTGAGAGCGTAGACGCCAACCAGCAAATAGCGCAGCAGCGCTTGCGCAACATGCAGCCAGCACCCGAATGCCGAATGAGGAGGCAGGCCCTTTGCTATATCGAAGTGGCCTGCCTGCGTCCAGTCCCAGGAAGCTTCCAATAGGCCCCGGTAGCCTGAGGCCCAGTATGATCGAGAACAGGCCTGGGGCCTGCGGTAGTTGCATGTGCCCAACTGCCTTAGCATGTGTGTGGCCCAGTACCCATATCCAGCCCAGGGCCTGCTTTACAGTCATTCACACAGGCGGCCCAGGGCCTGGGTTTCCTCAACCAACTGGCACTGCGCAACTGCCTGAATTTCCTTAATTACGCAGAGGCCGAAATAAGGCCCTGAAAGCCTCGTCGAGCCTGCCTTCACTTAGGGCGGCCGACGGGCTGTAAAAAAGGGGCCGAAAGGGGCTCATAGAGGCAGTGGCCTCGCATTCCCTCCTCCTTAGCTTCAGCAGTCCTTTGAGAAGCTCAATCTTCGACCATCGGGCGCTTTCCTTTCTGCAGAGATTTCTCATAATGAGCTACAACTTGGGGAGCGGTCTGCATGAGTTCTTCCCTTGTGAACCAGCGGTCCTCCTTGGGATCAGTATGATGTCGGAACCGAACGCGGTACTGCAGCGTCGGTTTCGGAGGACGTCCCCTGCCTGTAGGTCTCTGAACTGGCAGCTCCCTGTGATCCACGATGTCATCAATGTCCACTTCTCCGTCCATGGTTGGGGGCAGCATTGAGCGACGAGAAGGAAACTCATCCGTTTCCTTGAAAGGTGCAAGCTTGGAGGCGTGAAAGACAGGGTAAGTTCGGAGATGACCAGGGATCCGGATAACATAAGATGGCCCATCCGGATCTGTCCCAACGATGTCCAAGACTTCCTAGGGTCCAAAGTACTGAGGCATGAGTTTGCGGGAAATCCCGTGCTCCTGTCCCAGTTATGAAGACTTAACCCAGACTCTGTCCCCAACTTGAAACGTAGAAGGATGGCGGTGTCTATTTTCAGACTCTATCATTGCAGCCTGTGCCTTCTGCATCTGTTCTACAGCCTGCTGCATCTTCTGTTCATATCGATAAGCAAATTCTAAGGTACCTAGTGCAACAGTGGTCTGATTCTCAGGAAGAAGAAAGTCTAAGGGCAGTTTAGGCTTGAAAGTTAGCAGTAAGCTGTTTGGGCTCACCCCGGTGGCGCTGTGTACAGCGTTGTTGTACAAGCTGGCGATGAGAGCAAGCTTCTCATCCCAGTCCACCTGATTGGGCTTGATGTAATGCCTCAACAGGTGTTGAACAGCGCGGTTCAGTTGCTCGGCTTGGCTATTGGACTCTGGGTGATTCCCAGAAGTCATTTGCAACTGGGTCCCCTGTTCCACAGCAGCGGCTTTCCACAACTCACTGGTAAATCGAACATCCCTGTCACTCACTATGGACTTGGGCAACCCAAAATCTCTAACCCAATTCTCTTTGAACATCTTAATGACATACTCCGTTTTAGCTGTTGCCGGCATCGCTACTAATCTAGCAAACTTACTAAATCTATCCACAATGACGTAGATATAGCGCATTCCACTCTTGCTGGTGATCAGAGTACCCATGAAAAATGCAACTGACCGGACTTTCGCTTTACGATACGCATACCTCCTTCGACCCTGTGCTTGGGGTCTTCCAGCCTCTCCTCCTCCTCTTCTTCTTCTTCTTCTTCTTCTTCTTCTTCTTCTACTACTACTACTACTACCTCAACCTGTTGTTCTTGTTTCTCCAGTGGACCTTCTCCTCCACCTCCCTTCTCTCCTTCTCCAATCTCTTTTTCTCCTCCTCTTTCTTCTTTCTTTTCTCCTCCTCCTCATCCTTCTTTTTTTTCTCCGCCAGCCTCCTACCAATTTCAGCCTGCTCACCACACGCATGGTTGTGCGGATGCTCCGCACCAACTCACCACATGCATGCCAAAGGTCCGGGCGAATCCCAGTGGAAAGAGGAAACGGAGGAGGGGGCCCCATATAGCGGACAGGCCACCTGCTGGAAACCGGGTCCAGCGTCCCTTGCAGCAGGGCGCAGCGCTACCGGGAGCGCTGCGCCCCGCCTGACGCTACGTGTTCCTGGGGATGGCGCGCGGCGGCGATGGCGGCCTTTTTTGAAGTCCTGGCACTTAGCGCACGCGCAGGAGACCGCAGGCGCTTGACCACACCATCTCACAAGTTGATGTGGCAGGTGGTCTGACTCCCGGTGGCGTTCAGTTTTTGGGAGTTCCACGTTTTGCTCCATTGCTGCTGCGTTGCTGCACGTGGCTTTTGGCCTGAGACGCGTCGGCTTTGTCGATGTTTGTGGAGTACAGTGGAGTTAGCCCTAGGTACCCTGAAGTGTGAGTGATTACAGTAACGGCCGGCCATTGGGGTACTGCTCGCCATCATCCTTGCCATCACTATCACTACTGCTTTCGTCATCAGGGGCGCAACTTGGACGTGTTATCAAGTACACTCAACACTGTTATCGCCATCACAACGAGGTTATCTGGGGCGCAGTTTGTCATCAAGCTGATGTTCGTCATCATCATTATCAAGGTTTTATCATCAAGGTTTGCTAGCATCATCATCGTCAGGGTGCTGCTCGTCATCATCATCATCAGCAGCAGCATCGACAGGGCGTGGTTCACCATCATCATCGACATCGTCACCACGATAATGTTTCGTCATCATCATCAGGGTGCCGCTCGTCACCACCATCATCGTCATCAGGGTACTATCATCAAAGGTGCTCGTCATCAACACCATCATTGCGTCATCATCATCATCATCATCATCATCATCACCATTATCATCATCATCATCATCCTTTGGTCATCACAGGGCGTTGTGCGTCATCATCAATACCATCATCATCCTTTGGTCATCACAGGGCGCTGTGCGTCATCATCATCATCATCATCATCAGATCATCATCATTAGTGCTGCTCGCCATCACCGCTATCATCATCGTTATCATCAAATCATCATCATTAGTGATGCTCGCCCTCACCACCATCATCATCATGTTGTCATTACAAGACGCTGTGCGTCAGAATCATCATCATCATCATTACCGACATCGCCATCATCATCATCATCATCATCATCATCATCAGTTTGTAATCATAGGGGCTGTTGGTGCTGCTCTTTACTATGATCAGCATCATCATTCTTTATTTATCCTCACCATTATCATCATCATCATGAGTTTGTTTTCAAACAGCAGGTGAGTTGGTCGTCACCATCATACTCATCATCATCACATGAGATCCTCATTGAGGATAATTGACTGCTTCATTTGATCTCGGGCTAGAGTTTCTGCGGTCACGGTGGGGATTTTTGGGGAATGGGTGGGGGGGCGTTGGGGAGCCTTACTCTACAGGGGCGCTGCAAGGTGGGAGGTGGCTGCTCTGTCGGGGGTGGGGCAGATTTGTGGTTTGTCCTTGTCTGGGGCCGGGGTGGAAGAGTTGGCAACCCGGCGGGGGCAGACAGGGACAAAGGGGAGGGCGAAGGCACCCTCTAGGTGGCGATTGGCTGCCTTAGCGGAGGGGGGTGAATCTCCTCGGCGGTGGCAGCGTGGGACAGCGGTGGTGGTGTAGGGGGAATTTTTCTCTGCGCGGTGACTATTGGAAGCTTCTTGGGCCAATCATGTTATTTTCAGCGTTCTGRGGTTCTGAGAGCTAGAGCAGCATCGGGTCTTCTTCTTTATTAGGATCTTCGACCTCAGAGATGGTTGCACCTGGACTGACATCAATAGGGTTGCTCTGTTCTATGCTCTCAACTTGCCAATGCCAGAACGACACTGGCCGGAGTTGGGGTGTTACCCTGTAACCTGTCGCGGCAGGAGCGCGAGGCCTTGTAGAGAGATTTGGGTTTGTCGAGGGAGGAAGGCAATCCAGTGGCGAATTGGGGGGGCCGCCTTGACACCCTCTGGGGCCGGGGATAGTCTCAGGGGCGAGAACAGGTCAGCTATGGTTGATGTTGTTCTGGTGGGTACTGTCTTTGAGTAGCAGTGTCCCAGTATAGGGAAGGCTAGGAGTTGCTCTCGGATTAGGAAGCCGGAATAGCTGATATAGCATAGTATTCACAATCCTTTAGATCTAATAAAGGTGGTGCGAAAAAAAAAAAAAAAGCATAATCATCTTCATCAATATCATCATCATCATTAGTATCATTATCTCATCAATGTTATATTAAGCTTTCTGGTGTTCTGGAACTTTTGGGCAGCATCAAGTTTTCTTCCACATCCTGGATACAGGATTTCAGGGATGGTCGAACCCAGACCGATATCTGCAGAGTTGTTCTTTTATGTGCCCCTGTTTTGCCGACGTCAGAACGACGCTGGCCGGAGCTGGGGCGTTGCCTTGTAACCTGCACAGGCAGGAGCGTGAGGCCTTGTAGAGAGATCTGGGGGTTGCCGAGGGGGGAAGGCAATCCACTGGCGAACCGGGGGGGGCTGCTCTGTGGCGAGGAGAGATCAGCTATGGGTGACATTGATTAGGTTGGTATTGTCTCTGTTTTACAATGTCCTGGTACAGGGAGGGCTAGAGGTGGCTCTAGGATTAGGAGACCAGAATTGTTGATATAGCATAGCTTACTACAGTTAATACAATTTTGTATCTCCATCAGCATCATCATCAGTAGTATCATCATCATCATCAGGATCATCATCATCATAGTCACCACATGAGGGACGCTGAGCTTGGTTCTCAACAAGTTTGGTTTTGTTTCTCCGGGCAGACTGTGAGGACCCCGGCCTCATTCCTCTTATTGGTAATATCAGCCTTGGGCACTGGGCCCTCTATTACAAAAAAAAAAAAAAAAAAAAGAGCGGACAGGCCAAGAAACCAAACATTGGGTAATCATCCATGGCGAGGGTCAACACAGGTAAGTCAACTACGCCTCCTCACCACTTAGACCTACTCCTCAACACTGAACTGTCCTCAATACTTATACTAGTACTAACCCAAATCAGGGCCTGACAACTAATTCCCTTCCCACTTTTGTCACTACAGCTCTCCTGACATCCGGTGGCAACCGACAGTTTAAGGTCAGCCAGCACAGACCTCAGGAACTACTTAACGACACAAGCAGGATGTTGTGCCCCACCAATATGAAGGATCACTCTCAAGACATAGAATGGTTCCTCGTTGATTGCAGCACTTTGCCCGTGCATTATACAGTTGGCGAACCCTACTGCCCTCTACAACTCCTCACTGCATCTCATAGAGTCTTCGGTTGCATGCCGGTCAGTACCGGTCATTGGGCATAGCCAGGTTGTTTTACGAGCGGCCGCCACTCATTCCCCGTGCTCCCTACTAGGTCCGGGGATACATCCAGCTGCCAAGTTGCTACCCTAGGGCGACCTACATCACACACGAAACTTTCACTCTCACAGGATTAGGGTCCCACTGGGTACCTATGCCCCCAGGTAGGCCGGCAACCCTGACCTCTTCCCCCACAAGGGGGAGTGACTCACCAATCAACAGGCAGACCAAGTGCAACTGTTGACTTGAATAACAAGATGACATCAACAAAAATCAATTTGCAGCAGAGGTCACCAAGGAAGCACGTGGGAAGGTACCATTGACAACAAAATTCAAATTGCATAAACGACACGGCTAGGACAAAGAAGGACTTCAATCCTTGAACGTTCCCTTGATGAAGCTCCTGGATCGCAGGTGCATGCTCCCCTTGCTCCTCGCTATGCCCCTTCTTCTTCGGTCCTCAACATCCTGTCAACCCTAATCTCTTTTTTTCTTTTTCTTTTTCTTTTTCCGCACGCCGGCCTTCTTCCTTGCCAGCGTCTCAACTCCGAGCGGATGCAGCGGGAACCGGCTCCGATACCACTAAAATGAGCCAAGCACTCGTCAAGTTCAACTTCGCATACATCAATGAACATTCACATGAGAGTTCACACGTGAAAAGCCAAATCGAGATGCAATCAACACTTGAAGATGTAGTCTCCAACATTATTACCAATATACAAGAATGTTTGTTTCCAGCCGCTCTGTCGTAAACACACGCAGTGGGTTTCAACCAGATAGCGGCTATGGCTTCTACCCTCTCTCTCTCTCTCTCTGACTTGACTCGCTCTTTCTCTCTCTGTGTGTGTGTGTGTGTGTGTGTGTGTGTGTGTGTGTGTGTGTATCCTGGATCGTTACCCTGGATACACCCACTCAGGTTGCTCACACCTCGGCTGCTATGGCCGCCGACCTCCTGCTCTACATCTAGCCTAGCCATGGAGTATCTCTCAAGCGCGCTCTTCTTCTTCAGGCGTACAGTGCCCAAGTTGCCCTAACGCACAACAGGCAACAACGCTTCCGCATCTCGCAACTGAACAAGTGATGAGCCGCTGCACTGTAGCAGCTAAATATAAGACTTGGTTTGGCTTGGCTTGGCTTGGCTTGGCCTGCTTCAGACTGGTACCGATCGGCCGTGGCCTGTCTGCTGCCAACATTTTGTCAGTCCGGTAGCTTCCGGACTTTCCTGGGACATGCTGCAAAAATTGTACTTGGGACGGTCGGACTGGATTGGATGCTTCTGGAATTTTCTTGTCACGTACCGAACGGACTCCCACCCACCTACGACGCTTTGGTACCGACAGCTACCGACCTACAACGCTTCGGCCTCTACACCCTACTGCCTACCCTACGGGATGACCTTGGGACTTGGGACTTGTCGGGACCCTGGACCCGGGACTGGGTGTCTGCAGCGTGAATCCTTTCATAATTGCAAGGAATAAGGAAAAAAAAACTGATGCTATTTTGCACAATAATTACATAGGGTGATTCCACAGGTTGACATGGGATCTGTCTAATCCTGTCAAGTTGCTCCCCGTGCTTTCAGAGGGAGCTTTCACAGGTTGCCTCCCATGCTTTCCCACCTCAATGTCCGTAGAGATCCAGTTAGCTGCCTTTGCTTTTGGTGTTCCTTATAATATCTATGAATTTGATTTCAATACTAGAAATTTCACTTTATCTCACACTAGTGAACCGGTTTTGACGGCATTTTGCCAGTTGAGTTGGGGACTTTCACCAGATTGCCGACAAAAAGTGCACCAGAATCCCTCTCTGTCTCTCTAAGCCCCCTCTCCCGCACCGCCTCCCCCCCCCCCCGCCCCTACATGTGTCAAAAAGATCCAACCACACTGAGCGAATGCAGAGGACAGATAAAAGCGGAGAAAGAAAGAATGATTAGAACAGATAAAAGCGGAGAAAGAAAGAATGATTAGAAGAAGAGCCAGGATGCAGCGGAGACAAGCGGACGTCAGTGAGTTAGAGGAGATGGACCTAACGCACATGACTGATGATGTGAGGATCATACGGTCTGTCCTGCTAGATGTAGTTGAGATGCAGGACCATCAGACGACCATCCTTCAGGACATCCAGCAAAATCTGGCCCTGTTGGCTGGTCGTGCGCAGGCAACATCGCCAATGTCCGGGCCTAGTGCCTGGCCCGTTGTACATCCTCCTCCTTTTGTCCCACCGATCCCCATACGTAGCCCCATCATCGGTTGTGATCGTTTCCCTGGGCATGCCGCTATCAGGGGTATCAGCAGCGACTAGTTTGCAGGTTCCTGTACAGACAGTGTACACCCAATCTCCATTGCAGGTTGCAGTCACCACGCAGCCTGCTGTCTCGCAGCCTGTGCAGCCGCTAGGCACACAGCCCCAGCAGCTGGCACAACAACCTGTGTCACACGGTCCACAGCCCGGAGTGATGCAGGGACCGGGACAAACACAGTGGGTTCCAAAGACGGCCATCGCCGCTCCGAAACCCTTCACAGGGGATAAGAGAGGTGAAGACCTTGACACGTGGTTGAGGGCAGTGCCAGTCTATGTTAGGTGTAAACTTACCTTGCCACACGAAGAAGTGTTTGTGGCTGCCTCCTACCTAAAGGGTAGTGCAGGAAGATGGTTGAGCGGTTTAGTGCAGCTCCAGGGGTATGGTCATGACTTCCGCGCTTGGGCGGTCACCCAGAAATTGGATGACTTCCTTAAGCTGGTGGAGGAAAGGTGGCACAATCCTCAGGAGGCCCAAAGGGCCACTGACGCGATCCTGACACTGTACACGCGGCAGTTTAAGTCAGTAAGGGAAGCCACCGACGCTGTTGAGCGTCTGATCTGGGTCCCAAGGGTGCGCTATGACCCCCAGGTTTTACTTACCTCGTACCTGAGATGATTCTCTTTGCCTCTCAGAACCAGTTGGCAAGTCAGGCCAACATCAATATGCACAACTTTCCTTCGTTTAGCAAGATGGACCTAGACCTTGAGGCAAAGATAGGGCATGGACAGGCACCCACTACGGATGGTAGGAAGAAGACACTGCCTCCCAACTGGAAGGCGAAGGGCCGCTTAATGTTTGTCGATAACGATGGTTCTACTATCGAGCTAGACGACAACTTCCAGGCGGGAGTAGGTTCAGAGGCGGGCAGCGTAGAAGCTTCAGGGGGTGGAGTAGTCGTTGCCGTAGCTCAGAAAGGTTTGAGTCTGGGAAACATGTCGGGCCAGTAGGAATAGTAGTTGTTCCTGCTAGGGTCGAGGTGGTGAGATGGCCCAAGCTACTGACTCCAGCGTCGTCCCGCAAACACGTTCAGACCCATCGAGCCTCTATTCGATGAATGTGTTTGAGTCCTTAGAGGAGCTAGAAGAGGAGTGGTCTAAATCAGACCCGCTAGCTTCTTGGACGACACTAGTCAAAGCCCCGAAGGGTGAGATGTTCGTCAGCGAGGTAGTCATTGGCGGCCGCAAGGCTGGGGCCTATTATGACACTTGCTCGACAAGGAACTTTATTAGTCGCGCGTGCGTTGAGAGGCTGTGTTTACAGGGGCGAGTGCAGCGCCTAAGTCGACCTGTGGAGTCGACCTGTGCCAACAAACAGCGCATGGTAGTCAATGACTACCTCCAGGAGGTTGTGTTGCTTCCCGTACGCGGGAGGGGAATTGAGACCGCGTCTCGTTCCTAGTGAGTGACGAGCTCCCAATGGATATGTTACTAGGAATGTACTACCTCTCTGTGTCACAGCCCCGGTTTGACTGGGACCGAAAAGTGGTCAAACACACTTTGCAAGGTGGAGGGACCGCCAGATTGCACAAGTTCAAAGCTAGTAGTCTGATCGAGTCTCATGGATGCATGTGTGAGGCCGCGTTCTATAACTATTATAAGCAAAATCAGGAGGAGGGTATGTACTTAGTTTACGTCTCTGCTGCAGGCGAGCCGGTGAAAATGCCGTCGGAGATAGAGGGAGTAGTTGCCAAGTACCCTGATCTATTTGAAGAGCCGACAGGGGTTGTAGAGAGGGAGGTCGTCCACGCGATAGAGATTATCCCAGGGTCTACTATCCCGAAGGGTAGGATCTATCGGATGTCTCCAGGCGAGCTCGATAAGCTTCGCCGACAACTCAAGGAACTCGTAGAGAAGGGTTGGATCCGGCCGAGTGTCTCTCCTTATGGATCTCCAGTACTATTCGTACCTAAGAAGAAGGAGGGTACACTTAGGATGTTCATTGACTATAGGGGCCTCAATGCATCACTGTAAAGAACAGAGAGCCCCTACCACGCATCGATGATCTGCTAGATAGAGTGCAAGGGTGGCGGTACTTCAGTAAGATAGATCTGAAGTCCGAGTACCATCAAATTGCAATCCGGCCCGAGGATCAACACAAAACCGCCTTTCAGACCAGGTATGGTCTGTACGAGTTTGTGGTGATGCCTTTTGGCCTTTGCAATGCTCCTGGCACCTTTCAGCACGCTATGAATCGGATATTCCATGACTACTTGGATAAGTTTGTCATTGTGTACCTCAATGACATACTTATTTTTAGTAAGACTGTCGAGGAGCACGTTGCACATTTGGACAAAGTCCTTAGTCTCCTGCGACAGCACAAGTTCAAGATCAACGGCGAGAAGTGCGAGTTTGGCCTCACCCGTGTCTTGTACTTGCGTCATGTGATATCCGCGGAAGGGTTGAAGCCCGATGACGCGAAGATGGCCAGCATTCGTGATTGGCCACGTCCTCAGTCTGTGACTGAGATGAGATCTTTCTTAGGAATGACAGGCTACTATAGGACTTTCGTTAAGAACTATAGCATAGTGGCCGCTCCGTTGATTGATCTGTCCCGCCTTGACACCCCATGGGAGTGGACAGATGAGTGCGAGGCTGCTTTCAGACATCTGAAGCATGCGTTGACGCACTACGAGGTCTTGAAACTTTCTGATCCTGATAAGCCGTTTATAGTCACCACGGATGCCAACCAATATGGTATTGGCGCCGTGCTCGCTGATCATCAAACCCTGAGATGGATGAGAACTCAGTCGGTGCTCTCTGACGCTCTCAAGCGTTGGATCGAAGTCATTGAGCAATATGACTTTGACGCTCAGTATCTAAAAGGGGAGTACAACAAGGTTGTTGATGCCTTGTCGCGTAGACCTGATTTATCAGGTGCGCTGATTACTGAGTTCGATCTGACGGACAATGTTACTCAGTCCTTGGTGGAAGCCTATCGCGAGGACCAATTCATGTCTGAGATCATACGCAGACTCCAAGCGAAGGACAAGAAGACCTCTGCCGAGTTTGAATTGGTCAATGGCTTGTTGTTCCTTGAGAAGGCAGGGAATAAACGATTGTGTGTCCCTAATAGCGAGTCTTTGCGTAGTTTATTTTTAGGTGAATGTCATGATGCCACCAGTCATTTTGGGTACAAAAAGACCGCAGTTAATCTGCTGCAGCGATTCTGGTGGCCCGCGATGATGAGAGATGCTCAGCTGTACGTGGAGACGTGTCAAGTTTGTCAGAGAGACGAGCCACGTACACAGGCCCCTCTTGGGCTCTTGAAGTCGCTTCCGATTCCGGAAAGGCCTGGTGAGAGTCTGTTGACACCCAGACATGGATGGAGAAGTTTGGGTTCAGGAAGGATGAGTGGGAAGAAGAGTCTGAGAGGGCTGAACTCACAACAAGATTGGAGGCGGCAGAGGACGGCGCTGAGAGAGAACTGCTGATGCAGGAAGGGAACATGAATTGCATCAGCGACTCCTGATAAAGAAAAGGGCGGAGTTGGATGAAAAAAGGAGAGCTGAGGCGGAAGAGATTGAACGCCAGTTGAAGGAACAAAAAGGTCGTGAGGGTGAGTGGAAAGACGATTGTGCCCTGATGATTACCGCCCTGCTACATACTAACCAGAAACTCACTGCCATAAACGAGTTTGTCGCCCGACTCGAACAACACAATCACGAGTTCAAAGCCACTTGGGAACAACTAAGTGTCGCTGCCCACAGAATAGATGAGCGTGTTGGGGGCTATGCACATCAATTGGAAGGCATCTTCACCTCAAAGTTAATAGATATTGTCGCTGCAGTCAGGCAGGGTGGCGCTGGTGGAGGTGGAGATGGTGGATATGACGACGACGAAGGTCCTCCGAAGGAGAGGGACAAAAAGGCAGATCCTAATCAGGCGAAAGGGAAAGAAAGGAGGGAAGATGAAGGTGAAGCTTCCGTGGACGTACATCGGGAAGGAGGATAAATTTTACCAGTGGGAGGTGCATATGGGCACGTATCTGTTGATTCCGTATTGGGACCGTGTCTTGATGGCGAGCTCGTGCCTTGGTGGGGATGTAACCAATTTTGCCATCTCCTTGATGGAGGAGGCAGGTTGCGCCTCCATGGTGGAATACTCTAAGCGCACTCATATAGAAGATTTCTTCAAGGCCTTGAACGAGAGGTTCGAAGACAAGGACCTGGCCCGATGCACTGAACACCCGATCCTTAATATTGGTGATAGAAAATGGAAAAGTGTCGTTGCATTGAAAACCACCATGGATGAGTTGTTGCAATGTCCCGATCACGGTCCAACCCCCACTCATATTCTCAACAACTTCGCGAGAGCGATGCCTGATCCCCTGAGGACCACTCTGTACCGCCGTACAAAGGAGGACAACACGACTTACGAGAAATTTGGTAAGAATGTCGTAGATCAGGCCTGCTTCCTGATGGAGGCTAACTAGTGGCATTACTTTAAAGACCTGCAAACAGGAGGGCGAATGGAAAAGTAAAACTATCGCAGGCAGTATAGAAGGGAAGGACAGTCTTGTAGTCACATTGGAGGGAGGGAAAGTCAAGGCACTACCTTACAAAAACATAGATTATGGACTGGAAGAGCCCGACAACAACCAAGTAGCCCAGGGAGGGAACTATTCGGCTGCTGCAGCCCACGGGGGAGGGTGACAAGGAGGAAGAGGAGGCCGGGGAGAAGGAGGCCAAGGAAGAGGAGGTCGGGGAAGAGGTGGAGGAAGAGGACGTGGCTCCTTGGGGAGTAGTAGCAACGGTAGGTATTACGCGGGAGGTAGGGGTTGTGGTTCTCCGCAAGGTGGGCACAGTTCCCCCTCCGCAGGTGGAAGAGGTAGAGGGCGAAGACCATGGCCATCACATCCAGGGATTGCGGACGGGGAACCATGGAAAGAGATGGGGATAGATATAACGTTGTGGAAGCAAAGGCTTAAGAACGGCCAGTGCCTAAAATGTGGTGATCCTAACCACATTGTCTGCTTTTGCCCTGACTACCCCGCTACCCAAAAGGGAGCAGCCAATAGGAGCTGCAGTTGCTCCTGTTGGGCCTTCAGACAGACAAACAGACAGAAGCGCGCGCTAAAAAGACACCCTCTTGTCTGAAGGCCCCTATGGCAAAGACTGATGTAGGCCTCCCACCCAGTTAGATGTCTAGAGACCGCTTGTGGTAGGGTCTCTCTGGGTGGTTCCCTCGCAGGCATCGGTGATGAGCTGATCGCTCGTCGCCAAGCTTGGGCCGAAATGAAGAAGAAGAGTAAAGGGCAACTAATTTTACCAGATGTAGAAATTATTAGAGAGTGAGTAGGCCCGTTACTTGATAGTGGTTCTACACGTAGCTACATTAGCCGAAGGGGATTGCAGAAGATGCATCTCGGCCTGAAGGTTTTGAAATTGGATGAGCCGGTCATGAGCAGGCTTGCAGACAATCGTGAAATGAGAGTAGAACAAGGTAGAGAAAGTTATGTACTGCCTGACCCTCTTAGTGGAGGATAACCTGCCTTTTGACCTGATCTTAGGGATGAATTGGGGGGAGGCTGCGTAGGCTGATGTGAATATGGGCGAGCACGAGTGTTGGCTGCCCAGCCCAGATGGTGGCAAAGAGAAAATGTGATTGTTTCACGAAGCTGGAGTGGAGTTCAGTCTATCCCTTTGTTGTATGAGTGCCCCTGCGTTTGCCAGACACATGGTCAAAGCCAATTTGGTTGACCAGGTCTTCGTAGCATATGTTAAACCGGTGAGTGAGGGCAAGAAGGATGAGGATCCAACACCACCCGAAGTTGAAAAACTGCTGAAAGAGTTCGCTAGCGTGGGAGAGACCCGGATAGGAGCAATGGAAAGAGAAATCAAGCATCGGATAGAGATAGAGCCCGATAGCAAAACGCCCGAAGGGCCAATCTACCGAATGTCTCCCAAAGAACTAGATGAGTTGCACAAACAACTTGATGAACTAGTAGAGGATGGGTTAAGCCCAGTTTCTTGCCATATGGCGCACCGGTCCTATTCGTGCCTAAGAAGGAATGCAGACTACGAATGTGCATTGACTACAGGGGTTTGAACGAAGACTTGCACAAGATGGCCTTGAGGACTCGCTACGACCATTACAAGTTTGTGGTCGTGCCGTTTGGCCTGACGAATGATCTCTTTCGGGAGTGGTTAGACAAGTTTGTAGTCGTCTATCTAGACTATATATTGATTTTTAGTAAGACTCTAGAGGAGCATCAACAACATCGACGCTTGATTTTAGAGAAACTATACATTGCGAAGTTCAAGTTGAACCTGAATAGGTGTGAATGGGCAAAGTGTCCAGTATTGTACTTGGGTCATGTGCGAGATGGAGATGGAGTCAGACGAAAGACGCGAAGATAGCAGCAATTAGGGATTGGCCTACACCGCATACATTGATTGAAATGCGGTCGTTCTGAGGCCAAGCCAATTACTATTGAAAATCCGTACCGAATTTCACCATGATAGTTGCACCACTGTGCAGACTGCTGAGGAAGGGAATTGGGACAAAGATTGTACCTCAACCTTCAAGAAATTGAAGAAGGCATTGATTGACTACCCGGTCTTGAAAGTTGCAAACCCATCACTTCCATTCATTGTCACAACTAACTCAAGCCAATATGAAATTGGCGTCGTACTCCAACAGAACGATGGAGAGGGGTACCGACCCGTCAAGTTCATGTCTTGCAGGTTGTTTAGTGAGAAGGTCGCTGCGTCGACGTATGAGCACGAGCTATTCGCCTTGAGGAGACACTGAACCACTGGCGACACACTCTCCCAGGAAGGCATTTTAAAGTCTACCCTGACCATGAGACCCTACGCTGGTTGGAAATCAAAGCCTGGATGACCCCTAAGTTGACTAGATGGGCTGGCGTTGTCACAGACGCGTTGAGTAGACGCGCAAACTTCTTCGGTGCCGTCATCACTTACCTAGATACAAACACCAAGTTACATCAGCAGATCAAGGCTGCGTACACTGACGATCCTGTTTACAGTGAGCTGATGAAAAGGGTGTAGACTGAGCCACACGAAGTCTCAGACTACAAAGTAACCAACGAACCAGTGTTTGAAAAAAACAAACAGGTTCGATAGACTATGCATCCCGAACAACGAGACAATCAAAAGTCTGATCATGGGAGAGTGCCACGGCACCGAGGGCCATTTCGGTTGGAGGAAAACCTATGCTAATCTCCTCCGACTCTACACCCAGGTCGGCATGAAGCACAATTGCATCGTCTATATCCAGGGTTGTCAAGTGTGTCAACGGAACAATCCCCACTTGGCCTATTGAGGCCGCTACCTGTCCCGTCCAGTCCCAGTGAATCTGTGTCGATCGACTTCATGGACACGAAGGTTAGAAGCAAAAGCGGGAAGAGTCAAGTGATGGTTGTTGTAGATAGATTTATTAAATTTGTCGTTTTTATTCCACTGCGCGCTGAGGCAAAAAACAAATTTAGTGGTTAGACAATTCCTCAATCACTGGTTAAGGATTACGAACACCCGTTAACGATTGTTAGTGATCGAGATAGCAGATTCACGGGTGAGCATTGGCAACAATTGATCAAAGTCTATGGATCAAAGCTGACCATGTCTTCCGGTCGACACAAGCGGTTAACGGGGACCCCCACTTTTCGGCCCTGAGTAACCATGAATGATCCTGAAATTAGGGTTTCGAGGTCAAATTTTATGGTTTTTTGGAATTTTTTTTTTTGCCTGTTTTTGTTTCGGACAAGCTTGCTGTGTGTCAAATTTGTTGTCATTAGGGGTAGTAGAATTTTTGCTGTTGATCATCCTGAAAATCCTGAAATTTCGATGTTTTTTTTTTGGCAAAATTGCCTGAAAATGTACTTTTGAGGTGCTGTTTTATGTGTTTTTTATTTTATTTTTTTTGCTTTTTTTTGATAATATGTTAGTAAGAAGTGCGCTCTATACATTGGTGTGGAGTTTGCTTGAAATGGCCTTATGGTTTTCTTGTAAATTGAGGTGAAAAATGAGGGCTCGGTTAACCGGCTCTTGCTCGGTTTGGCCATTGAAATTCGAAGACTGCCGCCCAGTACAAGGGAGTTTGCCATTCGATACGAGAAGGATCTGGAGAAGGTCAATAGGAACATCCTCAAGGACCAGCACCAGATGGTAGAACAAGCTAACAAACATCGACGACCATCGCAGTTTGTAGTAGGTGACTTTGTATGGGTTAAGTCTTAAGGAGTTTGTTCCTAAAGAAGCGATCTCGCAGAAACTGTTACTGCATATGGGGGACCATGGCAAGTCTTAGATTTCAAAGGAGAGGCAGATGGTCCATCCTACACGATCGAGATTCCACCCCACCTGCACACGAACCTGATATTCTCCGCATCTAAGTTGCTTCCGTGTATTATGAACGACCAGTTTCCCTCTCGTCGTTCCATGATTCCACGAGATATGGGCGAAGGTTATGATGTAGACCAAATAGTGGCCGAAGATACTTTCCGCACAGGTTGCAGAGGAAGGCCACGGCGACAATATAAGGTCAGGTTTGTCTACCAGGAGCCCAGTGAAGACCGCTGGTTCCCCAGGGAAGAACTAATACAGACGGCCCCTCACATTATCTCTTTCTATGAGAGGGCCCGAAGAGGAATGAATGTGTATGATAGATAAAGCTGAAATTTTCTCGGAGGACCTCGAAATTAGGCCGACGAGAGTGAAAGAACTCACGCTGCAGACAGCCAGTCCCGGTCTCAGGGTCACGACAAGTCCCAAGTCCCGGGGCAGTCTCGTAGGGTAGGCTATAGGGTCTAGAGGCCAAAGCGTCGTAGTCTGGTAGGTGTCGATACCGAAACATCATAGATCGGTAGGATTCCGTCCGATACTGGACAAGAAAAGTCCAGAAGCATCCAGTCCAGTCCGACAGTCCCAAGTCCGATTTTGCAGCATGTCCTAGGAAAGTTCGGAAGCTACCGGACCGTCAAAATGTTTGCAGTAGACAAGCCGTGCCCGACCGGTACCGGTCTGAAGCAAGCCAAGCCAAGCCATGACAAGTGAATCCAAGTCCTCTATTTAGCTGCTACAGTGCAATGGCTCATCTTTTGTTCAGTCGCGAGATGCGGAAGCGCTGCTGCTGCTTGTGCGTTGAGGCAACTTGGGCGCTGTGCGCCTGAAGAAGAAGGGGGCGCTTGAGATATACTACATAGCTAGGCTAGATGTAGAGCAGGAGGACGGTGGCCATAACTGCCGAGGTGTGAGCAACCTGAGTGGGTGTATCCTGGGTAACGATCCATGATAAAGAGAGAGAGAGAGAGAGAGGAGAAGTGATAGTCGCTATCTGGTTGAGACCCGTTGCGTGTGTGTGCGGCTAAGCCGGCGGAGACTAACATTCTTGTATATTGATAATAATATTGGAGACTACATCT